CCTTATAATTTGTTGCACCTCTCAAGATTTATTGCCCCATTCCAGTAGAGTGTAAATATGGTAGGCCAATGACTTTTAGTTGATAGTAAAGCACCGATCATTCTTTTCATCGAAAGGGAGCCCAGCTAGTCACTTATATGAACTATTTGTGGTGGATGTGTTGTAAGACTTTGCGCTGCTGAGGCTAGAGAGGTGAGCAGGGTAAGCCTGACTCTCCGTTTGGTCTTCTATGTTAACATCCACCCCTTGTCGCTCATATGACCTTATTATGCAGTTGCGAGCGACGTAAAACCTTACTAAAAACGACAAGGAAACTGTAACTGAAAACACAAACTGATTCTGTTTCAATCTATGGACCAAAAAGAAAAAAGCTGATTACTTTATGTTGCGTTGTTTGTTGTCTGTTTCAGGAGTCCTCGGATAGCTTTACTGGTCCTTCCAAAGCGGAGAAGTTTTACCGGGCCGAGTTTCCCGTTCTGACGTATGTAAGTGAACAATATTTTATAAAATTGATCTCAGGCTTCTGTAAAAATGAAATATAGTTAATCCTTAATACTGTAGTGTGAGTTTTATAATTGTTACTCCCTTGTAACACCTCTAACCTTTGGCACTTTAGTAACCTAATTATGTTACAAACGCGGTAAAATTTTTACTAAAACAAACTTCTGCGGTGGTGGAAATTATTGTTTAGAAAAGTTAGTTCACATTGTTATTATAATGTGAATTTAAATACTTCATATTCTGTAAAATGTAATGTAAAAATCAAGAAATGTTTCTATCGACCGTCATACACAAATTGTCAGCACACAGAAGAGCATGCGTATAAATGGCACACCGACAGGCCTGTCGTTCGTACGCATGTACCCGTAGTTGTTTTTTTCCTTTTTTAAATAAAAGATAATATGAGATCATATTAATATGGTGAAAAGGGGGGAAAGAGTAGACAATTGAATACAACTGGGAATCTCAAAGTGCTATAGACGGTTATAGCTGCAACTTTGCTTTTCAACGTCTATTATGTGTGTTCCTTTTTTTTTAACACACAACCTTCATTGCTAACTTTTTCCTCCATACCTCTCTGGCTCCTCCCCTCAAACTCTCTGGCTCCTCCCCTCAAACTCTCTGGCTCCTCCCCTCAAACAAACTCTCTGGCTCCTCCCCTCAAACAAACTCTCTGGCTCCTCCCCTCAAACTCTCTGGCTCCTCACCTCAAACTCTCTGGCTCCTCCCCTCAAACTCTCTGGCTCCTCCCCTCAAACTCTCTGGCTCCTCCCCTCAAACAAACATTCTGGCTCCTCCCCTCAATCTCCCGCCGCAGGAGGACGTGGCCCAGGCTGACAAGACAGAGGTCATCAAAGGTCGAGGTCGGAGTAAGATGGGCAAAGTTCACGCCCCTGAGGCCACGCCGGGCAGTGACTGCAGCATTAAGTGTGAGTACACAAAGCAGCTAAACATATTATAATTATTGGGAAAGTTCCTCACTTTGGCCGCCTAAAACTTCGGAACCACTTAACTTTCGAATTTGAACAAAGTAACGGTGGTTCAGAATCATTTAAAGGGTGCACAGTTTTACTGAGGAGTCTGAAGTCACTGTAGTTTAATTTTCAGTTTCTCATTAGTTTCGTTTAGATCTAATCTTGGGCAAAGATAGTGAATAACAAGATGGGCCACTCAGCCAAAAAAGTGTCCGCAGGAAGTATGCTCTTTGCTTCAGATGGCGCTGCAGTCTGTTTTGAAGCTCTCTTTCGTTTTTCCAGAAGAAGAATAGGAATAGCACCTCCTTGCGTGCGCAGAT